AGTCACGGGCACTATTTATGTTCGCTTCTCGGTCTTTCGTGGAGGGATCGACACCAGGATCCTGGCGCTGGTCTTTTTGTCTGCTTTGGCCCTCCCCGGGGTTAGTCTCGCTGGTTCTTCCCGGGTGGCTACGACCCTTCCACCTCCGTGGAAGGGCGGTTCCCCCTGGCCACATTCCCCACTTCGCGGGGGAGCGGCACACCGCCGGCCGGCTCTCTCGGGGGCTGCACAGGTGTTCCTTCAGATGTTCCCCTTAGATGTTCCTGGTGCATGTTGTCTCTCTCCTCCTTTATAGTCCTCTTCCGCCAATCCCAACTCGGCTGCCCACACGCCGAGTACGCTGCTCTCCTCCAATCAGGAGCAGGATCAGCTCCTGGAGGTCATCACTCAAGTTGGCAAGAGGCAGCTGCGTAGAAGCTGTTTTCTCCTCTCCCAGCGCCATATTGTGGGAGAGCAGATGCATAGAATAAGTCTTAATTCCAGTAACTTAGTCTAGTCCGAGTTGCTCCCAGTTGCTCCCCACAGGGGTACTTTTGTGATAAAAGAATTTCTGGTGGTTATATCCTAATATGTCAGTTTGGTAGGCTGCATTGGCTTTGGTTCTAGGTAAGCACTTTATTGTCCATATAACTTTTCAGGTATAATCAGGGTTCTTGGATTGCATCATCAGGTGGGATCCAACTTTCTTAGGTGGGTGGGTTCACTCATGGCTCCGAGTGTGTGGTATGTCTGGCAGTGGGTGTAGGGTGCTTATCAGTGTCTATAGGTCATGTGGGAATGCTCTGGCTGGCCTGTGCAGGTGAAGCATGGCTGGGATGGTTGTGGAGACAGGGTGTTCATCACTTTCTGAGAGTCATATGGTGGTAGGGCCACTCTGGGGCTCAGTTAGGTGTGGGTTCAGTCTGCTTGGTAGCGTAGCAAGATGCCTATCAATGTATAAGGCTTGCTTGGGGCTGGGCTGTACTTGTTGGCCCAGATTGGGTGCCTGTTACTGTCCTAAGGCCACACATGATTTTACAGGGCCTCTGTGGGCTGATCTGCTCAGAGCATGCTTCCTGAGGACAAGGGTATGTTGGTGGGATCACTTATCTGCTTATCAGTGTTTTGGCAAGCCAAGTCACTCACAGAAGGTTGCTTAGCTTCTTTCTGTAATTGTGGGTTGGGGAGGGGCACCCAGCTGCTTCCCATGATCATGGGTGGATGGTTGGTACTGCCTGTCTTCTAGGCCCTCAGCCAGCAAATCGTTTCAAGATGGACTTCTTGACTGCTTCTTGGAGCCACAGGGAGATGGGCAGGGCTTCCACTTAATTCCTGGGGCCCTCAGCAGGCTGAAGTACTTGGTGTGTGGGCTTCCCTGATGTTTTATAGCATCATAAATGGGTATGTGGAACTGCCTGGCAACTTTCTGAGACAGCACTGGGTATGTGGAATTGCCTAACTACTTCCTGGGAGCTTTGGTTGGTCAAGATGCTCAGAGATTCCTAGAGTCCAGGAGCTTCCTAGAGCCATGGGAGGGTAGATGGGACCAGTTGGCTTGTTTACAGCAATAGGTTGGCTGAACAGTTGAGATCAGTTGCCTGTTGGGGTCACAGGATCCCAAGTGGGCAAAGTCTCTGCATTGGCACTGTATAGCAGGAGCCTGAGTGGTGGAGAGAACAATTTAGGCTTGGTCTTTCTTTTGGACAATGTAGTACTGTGATAATCCATCAGCTCTCCACTGGGCTCAGAGCCTGTGAAGCCTGCAGGCTTCTCCATAAGCAAATATTTTAGGTGCATGGTGTGGGTAGAGACTGCTGGCAATGTTCTCATTATCCTTTCCCCACTAAGTGAAATCCATTTTCATTCAAGATTGATTTTAAGAGATTAGGCAGTGGATACCTAGTTTCCTTTTTTATAAGGGCATTGTGTATCTCTGCATTCTGTGATGTTTCTGCCACATCTGTAATGCACTCCTGCACTCTGCCTCAAACCCCCAGTGAAATAGCTGTTGTTTTTTCCTCTCGTTTTGGTCTTTTATTGTGGAGGGAAGTATGCCAGGTACCTCTAATCAGCTATTTTGCTGATGTTACCATTTATTTTTAAAATTGTTTCAATCTTTCTGCTAAATTTCTGAATTGTTTCTCTGTATTTTCTTGAAGCTCTTGTTGAGCTTCCTTAAATTAGCTGTTTTGAACAGTTTGTCCTACACCTCATACATATGCATTGCTTAATGTTAGTTATTGAGACCTTATTTTGAGGTAACCTCATGTTTCCCTGATTATTTTTTAAAATAGATTTATTTATTTATTTCAAAGGCAAAGTGACAGAGAGAAGTGAGAGAGGGAGAAACAGAAAGGCCTTCCACTGTTGGTTCACTCCTAAATGGCCACAAAGGCTGGGGCTGGGCCAGGCCAAAGCAAAGAGCCTGGAATTTCACCCAGGTTTCCCGCATGGGTGACAGGAGCTCAAGTGTTTGGGACATCTTCTACTGCTTTCCCAGGAGCATTAGTAAGAATCTGGATCAGAAGCAGAACATTGGGCTGGCATTCTGGCAAAGTGGGTTAAGCAACTACCTGTGATGCCTTCAATATCATATGGGCACTGATTCAAACCCCAGCTGCTCCACTTCTGATCCAGCTCCCTGCTAATGTGCCTGGGAAAGCAGGGGAAGATGGCCCAAGTACTTGGGCCCCCACCACCCATGTGGGAGACCTGCATAGAGTTCCAGGCTTTTGGCTTTGGCCTGGCCCAGACCTGACTGTTGTGGCCATTTGGAGAGTAAGCCAGCAGATGGAAGATCTCTCAGTCTGCCCTCTCTGTAACTATGCCTTTCAAATACATAAACAAAAAACTTGTTTTTCTAAAAGAAGCAGAGCATCTGGGACTGGATCTGTGGCTCTGATGTGGGATGCCAACATTGTAAGTGGTGGCTTAACCTGCTGCACCACAATGCCAACCCCTCCCTGCTTCTTGATCCTTGTGGTTATGCATTGATGTCTACACATTAACAAGGTAAGTATTTATTCTAGCCTTTGAATTTGGTTTTATCTGGGGACATCCTTAACAGTAAGTCTGTCCTGAAAATCCTGGCAGATTTCTGTTGTGGTCATTAAGCCCATAACCATATAGCCATTGCAGTGCTAAGGAGTGCCCTAAACTCAAGATTGCCATGACCAGAGCAGTGCCAAGCTGGAATCCTGTGGTTGTCAATGATACTGTCAAGCCTGGCTGGAATCTAAGCCCCTGGTCATTGAGATCTGCCTGTCATTATGGGTTATTTTGGGCCCAAGGCCACTGTAGTCATCTGGTAGTGATATGAACTGGAAAATGAGTTCATCTCACTGTGGCTATGGGTTCCCATTTGGTGTTGGGGAAGATCTAGGGACTTGGTCTGTGAATATCAGTCTGGATTCAGAGGCCTTAGAAGACTGTCTGGCACTGGGATATACCATGGTGGACTCCATTTTGGGTTCCAAGCCAAAGTTCTGTGCTTACTTCCCCCAATTTCTCCCCAAAAGACAGTGTCTTACCTCATACTGTGCTGCTTGTGGTTGAGAAAGGGGTGATATGGGTAATGTAAAACTGTCCTCCTTACCCTCTTCAGTGTATCTTTTCTTCTTGTTATGCTATGACCAGGTACTGTATTCCCTCAGCTGGTTTTCTTTCCTGGATACATTCTCAAATTAATATTTCTTCAGAGGGATGATTGATGGAGGGTCCTATTCTGCCATTTTACTTCTTGTTTAGTTTTTTAAAAAATATTTTTTCTCTCAGTGCTTAGTTTCTATTGTTATGCTTTCAGATTTAATGATATTTCCTTCTGCAATGTCTAATCTGATTCAAGATCATCAAACCAGTCTGGCAACTCACTGAGTAGGATGCAAGTGGATCAGGATCTGTTGCATTTGGATAGTGGACTAAATGGATGCAGTCTAGTTATTGTGTTGGCAGATACAAAGTGGTACTTGTCACATGATAGCAGTCAGCTGCTTATAGGGAAGGAATCCTGAGCCAATCTCCACCAAAATTTACCAGGAATTTCTTTACCATATTATATATTTTATAACATGCCACTTACAGTACAATATCCAATGAAAGATGATGTCATGGAATACGTGAAAAGTTATCAACTCCTATAAGAATCAAATACTTTCTTTTTTTTAAAACTTTAAGAATCAAATACTTTCATCTTGAATTTGTGATTTTCAGTTTTAAAACACAAAGAGCAAATTTAGGAGTAGAAGATATTATTTAAACATTTCAATAAAGGTAGTAAGTAGTTTTTGGCAAGATTGCCAAAATAGTTCCTGGAGAATAGATTTTGGGAATAGAAAATGGGTGCTTCATTTGTCACTAGAAATGGATATGAATCCATCTATTGGGAGAGCAAGTCATTTTAATAAGCATGAAAACATGTGAGTCATTATATGTAGAATGTTCCATCATTCTAATTGGAAGGGGACCAATACAGGATGTATTTTAAAATTTAGAATGATATAAAATGGTTCCCCACTTCCCTATTCCCACTTCCTGTATTTCTGTTACAGCAAAGTGCTGTAAATTACTATTTCTTTACTATCAAAGTAGTTATCAGGGTACAAATCAATAGCTGAATATGTTACTTTGAAAACACTATGGGCCAGCGTTGTGGTGTAGCAGGTAAAGCTACCTTCCTGTGACACTGGCATCCCATATGGGCACTGGTTCGAGTCCAAGCTGCTGCATTTCCAATCCAGCTCCCTGCTAATGGCCTGGGAAGAGCGGTGGAATACGGCCCATGTGTTTGAGCCCCTGTCACCCACATGTGAGATCTGGATGAAGCTTCTGGGTCCTGGCTTCAGTCTGGCCCAGCCCTGGCTGTTGCATCCATCTGGGGAGTGAACCAGCAGATGGACGATCTCTCTCTCTCTCTATAACTCTGACTTTCAAACATGTAAATAAAACTTTAAAAAAGAGAAATATTTTAATATAGAAGATTGGTAGATACTTAAAAAAAGATTATTTTTATTTATAAGGCAGAATGGCAGAGAAAGAACATGAGAAATATGGAGAGTTCTCCACCTGCTGGTTCAGTCCCCATATACATGTAACAGCTACGGCTAGACCAGGCAGAAGCAAGGGGCCAGGAATTCAACCAGGGTCTCCCACATGAGTGGCAGGAAACCAACTACTTGGGCCGTCACCTGATGCCTCCCAGGGTGTGCAATAGCAGGAAGCTGGAATTGGAAGAGGAGCCCAGAATCTCCCAGACACTCTAATATGGAATGCAGACATCCCAAGCAATGGCTCAATTTGCTGTACCATAACTTAGCCCATGCCTGGTAGATACTTTTTAATTCATTCATATGAAAGTAAGTTGACATGTAGAATTGATTTTTCTGTTATTCCAAAATGTTGTTTTCTTAAAATTCTAAAAAGTTTGCAAAATATTCATTTGGAAAATTAAGGCAAGAACTAGTATCCATGAGAGGTTGGTTTTACATATCAATGGAAGTGTTTTGTTGCTAAAATTATGAAATTTAAAGTTGATCTGTTTCCTAAGGTTGGGCATTTGGCACAGGGTTATGATACCTTTTGGAATGCTCACATCCTATACCCAAGTGCCTTGACTAGAGTCCCAGTTTCTCTCCCATTTCCACCTTTTTACTGATGTGCACCAAGGGAGACAGAGTGACGGCTCTGTTACGTGGGTACCTGCCACCCACATGGGAGACCTAGATTCAGTTCTGGGCTCCTTACTTTAGCCTGGCTCAGCCTCAGTTGCTGCAGGCATTTAGGGAGTGAGCTAGTAAATGGCAGAGCTCTGTTTTTCTCTGTCTACTTTTCAAATAAATAAAAATAAATTTAGAAATTAAGTAAAATTAACCTATTTCTTAAAAAAATCTGTTGTCACAATTTTTTTTAAAAGATGTGCATTAAATGTTAAGGCAGTTCTTTTGCTTTTAGGTAAGTGTTTTTAAGGATTTTTACAAAATGAATTTTAAACAGCCGAGATGTATATAACAATGTCTGTATTTGATGTAATAAGATGGTGGAAAAGTACAAAGATAGACTACTTGATCAAGAAGCTCTGGATCACCACAGCACACAGAATGGCAGTAAGTGCAAATCCCATCATGAGGATTAGAACAAATATGTTGTCATTTATTTCCATCCCGGACTTTTCACCTTTTTGTTCATTAGAGCCACTGCCTTTGTTTCCTTTACCACCTCTGCCAGCCCTTGGATTTGGCTTATGAGTTGAAAAAAGAGTACTGGGGCTATATGGGCCCCAGATCTCTTGCATTCCGGTAGAGATTTTATATTGGCGTCCAGCACAAACCTTGAAGCGATAACGCGTATTTGAGAGAAAGTTGGAAAAGGAGAATGAAGTGTTCGGTCCTTTGTAAATCTAAAGGAAAAGGAATCAAAATAAGAATTATATTTTCTTACCAAATAAAATGACATTATGTGGTTTTAACAATAGGAAAAATATAAATTAATTAATCTCATGAACATCTTCACAACAAAAATAAATTTTTTTCTTTTAGAAATTCTCGGCCGGCGCCACGGCTCACTAGGCTAATCCTCTGCCTTGTGGCACCGGCACACCGGATTCTGTCCCGGTTGCCCCTCTTCCAGGCCAGCTCTCTGCTGTGGCCAGGGAGTGCAGTGGAAGATGGCCCAAGTGCTTGGGCCCTGCACCCCATGGGAGACCAGGAGAAGCACCTGGCTCCTGCCATCGGATCAGCGCGGTGCGCCGGCCGCAGCAAGCTGGCCGCGGCAGCCATTGGAGGGTGAACCAACGGCAAAGGAAGACCTTTCTCTCTGTCTCTCTCTCTCTCACTGTCCACTCTGCCTGTCAAAAAAAAAATTCTCTAGGGACTGGCATTGTGGTATAGTAGGTTAAGCTACCGCCTGTGATGCCACCATCCAATATGGGCACAGGTTCAATTCCCGGTTGCTCCACTTCTGGTCCAGCTCTCTGCTATGGCCTGGGAAAACAGCAGAAGTTGGCCCAAGTGCTTGGGCCCCTGCCACCCACGTGGGATATATGGATGAAACTCCTGGCTCCTGGCTTTGGCCTGGCTCTGCCCTGCCATTTTGGGAATAAACCAGCAGATGGAAGATTCTCTCCCCCACCTTCCGTCTCCCTCTCCCTCTCTCTCTCTCTGTAACTTTAGCAAACAAGTAAATAAATCTTTAAAAAAATAAAAAAAAAAAAGAAAAGAAGTTCTCTAAATATTCTGAGGACCTAGTACTGTTTAGGTAATTTTCGTCAGTGTAAGAAATAGCAAAAACTTATAATTGGTAAAGTTTAATTGCATTAGACTTGGAATTAAGTTGTCCATTGTGATAAGTGGGTCCAAGAAATGCTAGTAGTTCAATAATAATAAGATAATTGAATGAATAAACTAATTGTCCCCAAATAAGTGTTATGTACATAAACTTCAGCAATCAGATGAGACTATCAGATGTGATTTAGTTACTTTAAGCAGCCTATAAAAACTTCTTGACAAGAATTAAATCCCTACTAAAATATAAAATTATAAATACTTAAAGAATAAATCTGCAAGAATTTACCAAGTTAGTTCCTTTATCACTGATGAGTTGAAGATTGTAAATAACAGGATCTCCTTTTATTGGCTTCAAAGACTCCCATTTGATCTTGCAAATGTTGTTATTCAGTTGATGTAATTTAGGTGCTAGGAAAAGAGAATTTCAGTTTAGAGGATTCCATTTGTCCTAGATGATCGTAAACATATTGAAATCTCTCATACAATTCCATGGTCATTAAATATCAGCATGTATAGGCTTAATCTAAGACATATAGTCCTTATTGCAAAGCCTTTTATACTATCAAACATCTTAATGACTATAATGAAACTGTAAGAAATTAAAACTATCAACATTAATGCTTATTAACTTTTAGGAACATCTTATTACAACTTTTATTACTTTTGTTTAATCACTACTGTTATAATCTTGTTCATTGTATGTATACGATACATTATAGATTTGGAAGCATTTTCACGCATGTTAACAATTGTATTTCAGGATCACAGAAGCTGTGTAAGAAGGACAGGCTCTTTTGCTTCATGTTATTAGTTTCTCTACACATCAAGAAAATGGGAATTAAATATGTAGGACATTAGTTAGCAAGAGAGAAAAGCATTATTGTGGTCTAAGTCATATTTAATTTTAATATGTTCCAGTTTGCTTTAAACTGAACACAATCATTTAATAATAGTGATTGGGCTCATGTGTGGGTTGATTGGAACAGCTAAATATCCTAATTGGGAAGGAAGGATTCCTCAACTCTTGGGTTCTAACGACTAAGTTAGTCTCAATGTTATACATTATAGATAGCAGTTTATTTTACTGTTTACGGAGAGTAAATTCAGTTTCAGAAATTAAATTTATTAAGTTTATATAGTCTTTTTAAAGGCTTAGTCATTATAATCGTGCCTATTAATGTTTTATGAAATAAGCGATTTGAGAAAATAAAAGGTATAGCAAGGATTGGGAATCATGACAGAGTAAAAGGAGCACTGTGATGGAAATCGAAGTCAAAAGTTCTTTATTTTAAAAGATTTATTTTTATTTATTTGAAAGGCATAGCTACAGAGAGAGAGAGAGAGAGGTAGAGAGGTAGAGAGGTGGAGAGGTAGAGAGAGAGAGAGAGAGAGAGAGAGAATCTTCCAACCGCTGGTTCACTCCCCAAATGGGCACAATGAGAAACGACTGGGGATGAGCCAGGCCAAAGCCAGGAACCAGGAGCTTCTGCCAGGTTTCCCACATGGGTGCAGGGGCCCAAGGACTTCAGCCATCCTCTGCTGCTTTCCCAGGCATATTGGCAGGGAGCTGGATCTGAAGTGGAGCAGCTGAGACTCAAATCAGCGCCCATATAGGATGCTGGTGCTGCAGGCTAGCACTTTAACCCACTGCCCCACAGCACCTGTCCCAACAGTTCTAATCTTGACTTTGCCACTGACTCAAGGTTACTTTAGCTAAGTCACTAATCATTTTGGGGACTTAGTTCCTTGTTGTTAAAAATGGCAGTGGTGATAGAGTCATTGGCTGAGTTAGATGAACTCTAAGATATTTATGAGAGTCTCATTAACTCCTACATTGCCCTTTGAATACATAATTAAGTACTAGTCTCTTTTGATATTATATAGTTGAATATTTAAAATAAACCTTACTGTTGAGTTTTTATGTATGAGCTATTGGAATTCAAACTAATACAAACTTTAGAATCATGGCTTATTATACTTACCTTTAAGTATGGCTGGTGGTGTTTTGGTTGTCTTGAAAGTATAGATGCGGGACAGTGGTCCCTCACCAGCTTCATTACATGCTTGGATTTTAAATTTGTACTGAGTATATTCACCCAATCTTTGCACTTTGTGAGTCTGAGAAGGCCCATGGTAAATGACAGAAAATCTGGGGGTGGAAACAGAGATGAGGGAATAAATATTTATTTCAGTAATAGAGATACAAATAATTATTTTTTAAAACAACTATTTGAGAGGCAGAGAGCTAAGAGAGCTAGAGAGCTAGAGAGCTAGAGAGAGAGAGAGAGAGAGAGAGAGAGCAAGCGAGAGAGAGAGAGAGATAAAGATCCCATTTGCTAGCTTATTCCTCAGTTGCCCATAATGGCCCCTTGCTGGGACCAAAACCAGGAGCCAGAAACTCAATCCAGGTCTCCCAGATGGGTGGCAGGAACACAATCACTTATGTCATATTGCTGTGTCCTAGGGTCTTCATTATCAGGAAGCTGGAGTCAGGAGCAGAGCTTGGTATTGAACCCAGGTACTATGATATGGAATGCATCACAGCCATTAGGTCAAATACTCGACCCCAAATAATTCTTTATATAACTGAGTTAAAACTGGATTTAAAACTTCAATGGGGGCCTAAGGAAATCAACTTAAAGCCAGATGGGTAAAATACAAAGGAAAAGCCAAATCATAAATATCATGATGGTAAAGTGCTGGCTTTTACATATGTGTGTGTGTGTATTTAACTTTTATTTCCTGGTACTTAATGTGTATTATATAAAGGAAGAAATGTTTTTGAAGAGGAAAAAATAGAGTTAAATCATAAATAAGAATTTAAGAAAGGATATCTAACATGAAAATAGCTTACTTTCACATTTATTAGCTCACTGAAATGACTTTTGATTATTATAAGATTAAGATATAATTTTATTATAAGATTATAAGATTAAGATATAATTTTATTATAATACATATTAAATAGTAAAAATAGCTTACCTGCCAGAGCGACTATACATGAACAAGTTGTAGTTTATAAGGTTGGAAAGTAAACCTTTAGCTGAAGAGTAGCCCCATTTTAGTTTGAGGCTTTGGTGTCCATAGGCCACACAATCGAGTTGTGGAGGTTCAAGTGGTAATGGCTTAGTTTTGGTTCTTATTGGCCGACTAAAAGGGCTTAATCCATAATGATTGATGGCTTGGATTCTGATTCTAGTGGTAAGAAAAGAATTAAAATATATTAATTTATATGTAGTAAAGAAAATAATTTTTGACATGTAAGCCAAACTCCTAGTAACCTAGTGGGAATATTGATCACCGTATAATACTAATTATTAGAGACAAATTTTCAAAACAAAATTTGATTTGCATAATCAATATTGAGAATTATTGATGAGAAATATAAATTGGCTTTAGCAATGCCAAATTTCTCTGATGTTGTAGAACTCTCTTTCAAAGTAGATCTTTTTTTTTTTTTGACAGGCAGAGTGGACAGTGAGAGAGAGAGAGAGAGACAGAGAGAAAGGTCTTCCTTTGCCGTTGGTTCACCCTCCAATGGCCGCCACGGCCAGCGCGCTGCGGCCGGCCCACCACGCTGATCCGATGGCAGGAGCCAGGTGCTTCTCTTGGTCTCCCATGGGGTGCAGGGCCCAAGTACTTGGGCCATCCTCCACTGCACTCCCTGGTCACAGCAGAGAGCTGGCCTGGAAGAGGGGCAACCGGGACAGAATCCGGCACCCCGACCGGGACTAGAACCGGGTGTGCTGGCGCCGCAAGGCGGAGGATTAGCCTAGTGAGCCGCGGCGCTGGCTCGAAGTAGATCTTATGCACACTATATAAATACCGATTTGTTCAAAATTCTCAAAAAGTTTTCCATCCACCCAAAGTGACTTACTTGTATATGGTGTCAGGCTGTAGATTTTTCAGAACACATTCTGTTTTCCTACCAATAGTCAAAATTTTTCTGTCTCCATATTCAATGTTATATCCAGTGATTGGAGAACCATGGCAGTCTGGTTCCTCCCATTGAATTGCAATGCAAGATGATGCCAATTTGGTAGAAACTTTCTTCTCAACTTCATGTAGCATCGGTACCACTGCTGGTACAGTTGCTGGTGTGGTTACTACGCCAGTTATTCCAAACATTCCAACTCCAACTGTATTGACAGCCTAAAAAAATGTATGTATTATTAGACATTATTACTTCATTTTTGTGCATAAACCATTTTGTTGCCTAACAAAATAATATTTATAAACTCATACTCTAACAGTATGGTTCTTTCAAGTTGCTGAAATGTGTGTTGAAACTTTTAGGCTGCATACTTAGGAAGGTGAGGAGTGTACATATGGGAAGGTAAAAGAAGAGCACCAATGTGGACATTTCAGAACAAATATACCCAAACCAAACTCATCAACCGCCCCACCAAACCTTTTTCCTTTTCTTAATCTTGGAGTTTCTATCTCTGATGCTGGTAGCCAAAAGTTCAGGTTCATTCATCAAGTTTCATTTTTTTTTAACTTTTTACTTTGAAAGGTCATTATATGTTCACACATCCCCCTTGCCAACTTTCCTCTAAAAGTGATATTTTGTACAACACTAGTACAATATTACGGCCAGGAAATTGACATTGGTAAAGTCCATTTACATTACCTAGGTTTCATCAGTTTTACATGCACTCATTGTGTGTGTTTTTAGTTCTCTTCTAGTGTATCATGTGTACAGCTTCATGGGACCCCCACCAAAGTTAAGATACAGAAGTTCTATTAGAAGAATCCCTTGTGTTACTCTTTTATAGACACAGTAATCCTCTTCTTCCTCCTCTTCTTAACTCCTGGCAACTACTGATTTATTCATTATTTTACTTTTGTCAATTCAAGAATGTTATACAAATGGAGGAATTCAGTATGTAAACTTTACATGTATTTTTTTCAATCAGTATATTTCCCTTTATATTTATCAAAGTTATTATGTCTATCAGTAGTTTGTTTCTTTTTAGTGTTGAATAGTATGTGATGGTGTGGGTATCTCACAGTTTGTTTAACCATTTACCTGTTGAAGGTCATTTGAGCTGTTTCTTGATTTTGGCTTTTAAAAATAAAAGTTCTTTGAGTATTCATGTACAGCTTTTTATGTGTGCAGATGTAAGTTTTCATTACTCTGGGATAAGTGCCCAAGAGTTCTAAGTGTAAAGTCAGTGCATATTTAGTTTTATAAGAAACTGCCAAACTCTTTTCAACAGGGGCTTTAATTCTCATCAGAAATGTATGAGTTACCCAGTTTTTCTACATTCTTGGCAGCAAAGCATCTGTTGTTATTACTATTTTCTAATTTAGCCATTCTGACAGGTGCTTTATGACATCTCACTGTGCATTTACCTAATAGTTAATAGGGTTGAACATCTTTTCATGGCACCTGCACATCATCTTCAATGAATTGTCTGTGGAAGTCTTTTGTTCATTTTCCAGTTGGGTCATTTGAACTTCTAACTTGAATTTTGAGAGTTCTTTGCATATTGTAGATACTAGTCCTTTGTCAGATATTGCTTTTGCAAATCTTTTCTCCTAGACTGCACCTTTCCAAAGGGCCTTTTGCAGGGTAAATTTTTTTAACTTTAGAGAGATTCATTTTATATATTTTTTTATTTTATGGCATTTATTTTTTCAAACAAGACTTATTTATTTGAAAGGTAGAGTTACAGAGAAAGAGGGAGAGATAGATAGATAGGCAGACAGACAGACAGAGATCTATCTATCTTCCATTCCTAAATGGCCTCAATGACCAGGGCTGGACCATCTGAGTCTTCCATGTGAGTGCAGGGACCCAAGTGATTGGGCCATCTTCCACTGCTTTCGCAGGTGCAGGGAGATGGATTGGAAATGCAGCAGCTGGGACTCAAACTGGCAGCTTAATTTGCTTAATCTGACACTGGTTCCTAGCTTTTACTTTTGATATCAAGTCTAAGAACTCTTTATCCTACCTATAGATATTGATGACTTTCAGCCAGTGCCGCGGCTCAATAGGCTAATCCTCCGCCTGCGGCGCCGGCACACCGGGTTCTAGTCCTGGTTGGGGTGCCGGATTCTGTCCTGGTTGCCCCTCTTCCAGTCCAGCTCTCTGCTGTGGCTCGGGAGTGCAGTGGAGGATGGCCCAAGTGCTTGGGCCCTGCACCCCATGGGAGACCAGGAGAAGCACCTGGCTCTGCTGGCCGTGGTGGCCATTGGAGGGTGAACCAACGGCAAAGGAAGACCTTTCTCTCTCTCTCTCTCACTGTCCACTCTGCCTGTCCAAAAAAAAAAAAAAAAAAAAAGAAAT